CCTGAAATTTCTTGAAAAGAGCAAATTTTACAGGAACTATTAAGAATGTAAGTGTTGACTTATTTGAAATATTTTGGGATCAGGATCAGTGATCCAAGATCACTTGAATTATGGTGCATCAAATAAACTGATGTTCCATGTCCATGTCAGTGTTCCCCATTCACGAGTCTAGATTCCGATTATTCCCAAGGAATGTACCCTTATCATATCAAGTGACTGCAAAAATTAATTGACTTAGTAACAGTTCACATGATTAAAAGAAAAATGTTACTAAATTATTTCGAATTAAATTAAGGATCTTTTAATGCGAATATACTTTTCATGACATTTCAAAGATGTTAATGAATGCTTACCATTGCATAATGCTAAGGTGTACTGGTATTCAAACGAATGCCTGTCTTCCGCAAGTATGTTGAAAACTGCCATAACTGAGCCAATCCGCTGACTCGTTCTCCTGCTATCAGCAGCAAATCTCAGCCTGACTGTCCCGCGCTCCCTCCTCTCTTAATGGCTTCCCTCAAATCTTCTATTCCCAAAGGGTATTCCAACACCTCCCTGATGATGCTGCGGCGGGAGCCATCTCCATTCTTAGCCTTGGTATTAAATGCAGTGGATAAGGATGTGGTAGTCAGTTTAGAGCATTACTTTTTACAGGGCCCACTATGACAATAAATATCGAACTTGAAAAGCCGCAATCCAGGAAAACAAAGTGGTTTACTTTGACCCGTTACCTAAAATAATAAGTAATCAAATGACTTTTTGGTCATAACTGCATAAAATCATGTGTGTAAATAACTTTTCTTTACGTTTTAGACTTTAAAAATTAATTAAATTATTTTCCTCTACTTAAAATAAGCGCACTTGGAAGCAAAAGGAACATGGGTATTATTTTATAGTGAGGGGGGTTCAGTTTTGAGCTAACAACATAGACTAGCTACGAGCAGTCTCTCTTTTTCCTCAGTCCGCAGATTAAGCGAGAAAAAATTGGTGCGAAAACTGGCCACAGGGTCACATATCATTTTCGCTACACGCTCGGCGAACAAAGAAAAAAAGAGACTGTCAGTATTCTATCAAGAAGAAATAATCAATAAGCAGTCCCTTGCCTGTGGTACAGGTATTGCGTTGATGGTCTTATTTTGCTCTCTTCTTTCTTGAATCAGTGCAGAAAGAGGTGGGATTAGGTAACGATGTCCTCAGGCAGGGCCATTCTTAATTCGTGATAAGCTCTGTCACTTACGAGCCCCTGATCCTTGGCAGCAAGTATCCGCCTGACGACTTCAGTCGTGTAGGCATCGTCGGAGCTGTCTTCCATGTCGTAAGCATTATTTGCCAACGGAATTATCAGTTCTCGGCCATACACATTAAATTTTATCCGTGGATGTATTGAGAATAAATATAAAGGAGTTCAGTACAATCATCTTCATGACTTGGTTCGGTTTGTTTTGTGAAGGTCAGGTCGGAGTAAGATGAATGAATGAATGAATGAATGAATGACTGAATGAATGATGATGATGAAGATGAAGAACAAATCTTGTGAAAAACTTAGCTCGACTGGTTTAAACTCTGTGGGAAGTTTCTCGACAGCATTCAACGTCAATTCTTGTATCTTTTTTCTCTTCTGGGAACGAGATGCCATGTCACATTCCCAAAATTTTTCTTTGACGAGTTAAACTTAAAAGCGTTTTTAATTTGGTCCGATCCACTGGCAAACGGCGTTGTGACACCTCATTCCGAAGTAAGATCAGTTCCTCTCTTAACTGGAAGGCCTCTGCTCGAGCTTTAATCAGTTCATGATGCTGCTCTGTCGTCAAACTTTTTTTAAGTGTTCATTCTCCGTTCTGAGTTCGCGGATGCCGGGAAAGGTCGTATTGTTCCAGTAATGGAACCGAGATAAAATCCGTCCGTTGTCCCCGTTCATATATAAGGCTTGGAACCCCGTATGTAAAGAACATTTGCGGGTTTTTGCAATTTGAACTTTGAGAACATCTCTGCACTGAGCGATCGAAGGTTGTGATTGTCAGGTCGCGTGGATACATGTAGTTTACCCGAATTGAAATGGTTGCATATATTTGTAAGTTGACTGTTTATAAGACAAAACCCCATAGACAATAGGTTAGTGACACGTGACTTAAGACGCTTTAAGCATGTAATTCGTTAAAGAGCAGGCGGCACACGCGTTTAATTTTGAAATTGTCGTCAATGATCGTAAATTGGTGGTTGATAATCCATAAAACAAAACTGCGTGGACTGTTTAGCGGAATTGAAATATTTGCTTTTACAAAGCTCTTGGTTGACGTTTAATGAGACAAAGCCTAAGGGGCAATAGTTAATAGCACTCTCATTTTAAAGACGCCTTTAGCATTGCAAAGTGTAAGGCTAAAAGCTCATTCCTTGTGATTTACTGGTTTTCTTAATTTGTGGGTAGAAGTATTTTTTTAACTTGATGAGCACATTGTTTTTCACGTTGTCGCCTGTCGCTTTGAGCACGAAACGAAGGATAAATATGTTCTTTGAAGCTTTCTGGGCCCTGTCCGAAAAGCGACATCAGTCAAACGTAAGAAGGTGTGAAATCACAATTTCTTTGCTCCTGAGGCTTGACAACAGTGGGTCAGATGGATAGTGCGTAACATGCACAATAATGACAAGGTATTTCTTTGACACTGGCGAGACACATAAAACTTATTTGCATGGTAGAATCAATTCATCAAACGAACAATGATCAAAAAAATTGAAAGCCACCTCCGTCACAAAGAAAGCCAAGAAATCAGGCCGAGGAGAAATTGATTCATTTTTAATTAAGTTTGCAGTTCTTCTTCGTCTATGACTGACTGAGTTAGTTTCGAATTAGAAACATTCGCTAAATCCAGGTTAGATCGTTCAATGTAGAGGAATAGGCCAAGATAGCCAGTTTGTTAAAAAAAAAAAAGTCATTCATCTTACCTTTCTAGAAGTTGTCATGTATTTCCGTTCCTTCCTTTACTTTCCTGATCTCAAGGTGTTCTCAGTCTCGATCTTCTTGATACTGTCCCTACGGAATAAAACGAGACAAATATATTATGAATGCGTACATAACTCAGTGCGGCCTCTGTATGAAAGATGGGGACCAATCCTCTGGTAACCAGAAACTGGAGTCTACATAACAACGTACGTTTTCATGATTACCCTCTCCCCTTTGATGGAGTTGGAGGGTAATGAAAGAAAAAGAACGTTTAAAATACACTTTAGGTCAACAAACTGTAATCATATAAGCTAGCTTACAAGTATGTACAAGAATGAGAAGAGAAATAAGTAAATAAGCGATAGGTGCACTAACAATAAAGTACTCGTTGCCACCAAAGTCACGTTCATGAAGAACTGTCATGGCGGCTGCCGTTGAGGATTTGTCTTACACCGTGCTGTGTGTATTACGCTCTCTCTAACCCTGGTACATTTGACTGCGTAAATCAATTTTACAAGGGCCACAACGGGAAAGATAAACTCGGTATTTCTATCTAAATGTATCTTTCCATAGGTTATTTACCTGAAGAAAAGTCGTGACAAAGTGAAAATCTAAATTCCTCGACGTGGTATTTGAACCACTTGATCCAGCATAAGAAACACCCGCCAACCTGGACAGAACAGACAATATCCAAGGAAATAGTGTCGAAAATACATGTGTCTTGTCTCCATAGACGCTAAAAAAGACGCTTAAATTTCTTGTAGTTCGTAAGCTTTTTCCACGTGCAAGAGTAAGCGCAAATATGAATATTTATTTTGAAAATTATTTGTAATTCATATGAGTTTTCTCACTACAAAAAACGGGTTCAAATAATCGCCACCAAGTTCTTCGGCCTCCGAAGAAGGATGCCTCAATAGAGAGCGGCAAATAGTTTTAGAAATTTAGAAATTTTAACTCGAACTTAAATGAACTTGAGCTCAAAACAGCTTGTTTTAAATAGCATTTTTTAGTAATTACAGAACCACATAACCTAGGCTATATGCTACTGGTCATCATTAACTATCGGTTCACCAGAACTCCGCATTATATCGATCTGTCTTTCTTTCCATAGGCAGTTCGAGTAACAAAGTGATGCATAAGTGTTGACTGAAACATGTTACAGACGACGGAGCTGTTTTATTTGGCCACTTTCCGACTAGATAATTGCGCGCAAATGATTTAAATAAGTACACGTACATGGATCGTACATATCTGTAATATTGTGAGGTCTTTACATTTCAAAAGGGTACACGAGGAGAAATAAATTCCACCCTTCCTTTTCTACGTTTCCAGGACCCCTGAAATTGAAAGAAATTTGAGCCAAGCGTGGACCTGGTCCTCGATAAAGTTTGCACGGTTTACTTTAAAAAACAAACGGGTACGGAATGAGGGAAATAAGTAGGCAACGAATTATGCAGAAGACGTCGTCAGAAATTTGAATAGGGGTAAGCGCTTAGCCTGGCGTACGACCAACTCTTCAAAGTCGGGAGAAAAACGCCGCGCCACCCGTGAGGTGAACATCCGGTGGACAAGCATGGGAAGCAACTCAGGTCCCTACTCCCTCCCTCCCCCCCCCCCCCCAGTTCTCTCAAGCTTTTAAAGCAAAACGTGAGAGCAAACCATATTGCAATCACTGATTACAATACTATCTTTGTTGTCTTTTTTTTTAAATACCGTTATCCTTTCTTCTATGGCTATTATTTCTTGCATTTGTCTGAGTCCGTTATCCTCATAATTATGTTTTAATGCTTTTATTTTGGCCACCTTATCTCTCTAAAACTCTTCGGTTATTTTGCTGTAAGTTGAACTTTTGTAAGAATTTTTCTCGATTTGTTTACCAAGAAAAGACCATCTTTCGGCCGATAGACAACTAACTGTTTTGGAAATCATTCTTTACCTGTCCCTCTCATAGTTCTTCTTTCCCCCTCCCTCCCCCCGTCCCCTTATCCTACGACCTGAATAATAACACTTAACAAAAATAACAACAATGAAGATACAAAATCAGAACCCCAAAATTCTTTCAATGACTCTATTCGGCAGTATAAAATATTTTACATTGTACTAAACTATATTTAGTATAGCTATAAAAAAAACATTTACACAGTTCAAGACCTATATAACAGTATAGCAGAAGTCTTCTTGATTATCAACAACATTTGGTTTGAATGACTAAATTTGAGCTTAGACCATATATGGTACAATTTCACTTGGTACAGTAAGAGCTTCGTGTTTAGATGCGGCAGAAGTTAGCCTTTTTGAGGAATGTCTTTTTACCAAAAGTAAGTTACCGGGAGTCATACAGTCCATAAATTCACTATTTACTTTGCAGATTCACAGACTCTATTACTTGGAATCAAGAAATATCCAGTGACTAGTTGCTTCCGAAGGTAAGAATATTGCCTCGTCTCCATGCTCTCTCTTTTTATTCAAAGCGTAACGCGCAAGATGTTGCGAGTCATTTGGATCCAGGCCCTTCGCTTCCACTTCAAATTGTAGGTTTCACAAAACATTGATTTGAGATACAACAGCATAACGACTACAGTGCATTAAAAAATGAGCGACTTACAAAGCATATCTACGAGAAAGAACGTCGGAAGCAATGTACAGGTATCTATAGCAATAATACATGTGCCGCAGCTATCAATAACGAGAAGCATCTGTGTACATCTAAAAGAAGAAGTTGGCTTTTTGCGGAAGCAGAGCTGGAAATAAACAATCCTACGGCAAGAGCCTTCCTGATTCGCTGTGTTAACGTCACCAGAGGTCCACATCGTCCAAATATTCGTCATCTTCTATATCCCTGAAGTCAGGATCTTCTATTGCGTCTTTTCGAACAATTTTATAATCATCTTTTGTGTTGTATTTAGCTGCGTTAGCCATCATTTGCTCTCGTAACTTTTTCTTTAGTAATGTTTCTTTCTCTTTGTTAGCCTTTTCTTCGAGTTTCCACGGTAAAGGCCTTTGTCCCTTGTTCAACACAACAAAAGGTCTCTTTTCTACTCCACAAAGTCCATGTCTGATTTTGATAAATCCATTATCTCCCCAGTTATGGGACCAAGAGTTTTTAATCAGCCAATAAGGAACCCCGTTTTCGGTGCCATATCCGACCAATAACACGGCATGGTCGGTTTTATTATCTAAAAGAAAAGATACACAAATGCGCATTAACCATTTTACACCCTAACATCAGCATCTATATTCTCTCGACTCTTATCTATACATTTCCTTTGACACTGACAAGGAGAATTCGTATGTGTAATCAAATAGCGACGAGTGAAATTAGGAAATAATTTCACGCGCGTTTTGTCAAAATTCTGATAATTTCCCGAGCCTTTAGGCGAGGGAAATTATCAGAATTTTGACAAAACGCAAGTAAAATTATTTCCTAATTTCACGAGAAAACCATTTCATTACCTTTTAATATCGTGGGTGACAAATCACATTCACAACCGTAATTGTTTTTACTGGTTTATTCTATCGAAAACTGAGAACATGAAGAAGRATATAGTTTTCGTTTAAAGCATACATTATTGTTAAAGTTCGTAATTTTCTGAGTTTCTTCACAAAAAATACCTTTCGAATTCTTCGTGCCTGTTAATAATTTTCGGCTGCTTCTTTTAATTTCGTAACTTCTTCAAGGGTCACCGTCTTAAATCTCGACGCCATTTTGGCTCTGATCGAGATACAAGAGATGTTACCTGGGCAGTTTTGTAATTTCACATGTAAAATTAAAGATTAGCGCTGAAATTTCGCGCCAAAATGAAGGAGTTATTTGTCACTTATGATATTAGTTTAACAATCAGAGCTTCTTAGGTTGGTGATCGTTTCCTTTATTCTCATGATAGTTATTAACGATTCTGCAGGATTACAGTAAGGAGAAATTAGATATTGGTCACTCTTAGGGTCAAAAGAGTTACTGTCAACTGACAGACTTTTTTTCAACAATGAGGTGGTAAGTAGATTTTGCTGATTAACCTTCTTGGGTTTTATCCGAAAATATTGTCTTAGTGAGTTTGAGGAGAATAAACGATCGAGCATTATTGTTCAGACGTTTGAAAAGCAACTGCGCGAGGAGGACATCTTCAAAAGTATTGATCCATTGCTGCGACCATATGGCACGAAGTAACTAACGCGACACACGACGAAACCCTGGGCCAATCAGAACATTACCTAGTTCATTTTAGGACGGATGAAAAAAAGAATAGCATAGCAAGACGCGGGCCGAACGACTCGAATACTTGGATAGGAAGTCAGTTTCATAATTTCTGCTTTAACCGAGCTTTTTGTTATCAAAGACTGAAATAATTTATGTTATCAATTAGTGCAGAAATATGCTCAATTATAGTTCACCACTAAATTTTCTCCGGTTCTTATTGGTTTAAATCGATCACGTGACGCGATAGTGTTCATCCGTGGAGAGACACTATCAGCCCATAGTGCCCGCCCGCGGAAAATACCCGGATGGATAGTGCCCGTCCGCGGAAAATACCTGGATTGATAGTACTCATCCGTGAAAAGTTTTGAATAGTTTGACAGCCGCGAAGTTAGGCAGATCGGAAAAACAATGACTTTTCAATTCTGACAGGTATAACGTATTATTTAGCCAATGTACGGTTGCGAATTATTGACATTTGTGACAAGCTGTAGGCGCGGAAGAAAATTTAGTGGTGAACAATAAAAACAATAGAGTGTTTATGTCTCGGAACTATCAGTCTGATAGTTGCCCCTTGGAAATTTGATGTTCTTAAAACTAGCATATTTGTTTTAAGAAAAACAAATTTCCTCGAGGCAACTATCAGCCGATAGTTCCTCGACAGAAACACTCTATTGTTTAAATAGTATCCCTAAAGAGCTCAGCCCAATTTCAGTGGGTTCCAGCTGTAATTCTGGCACGGAGTGACAACAAAGTTCGAGTCTTTCTCGTTCCAGAAAGATTCGATAATTTTCAAAAAGCGAGTAATTGAACAGGAATGTGTACTTACTACATGTGATATCGTCTAAGACGCCACGACTGTAGAATTTTAAAGTTTTCGGATTTGCATTGATAGAAATGGTGGCTGGGCCATGGTAAGCCAAAGCTTTCTTAAGCGCTTCCTTGTTGTAGCGTTTGACTCTCCTATAACTGTGAATTCTAGCTCCAACTTTCAGTCCCTCAGTTTTACAGTACCCTTCCTAAATGAAAGAAAGGCAAAAAATGACGTATATCAGGTAACTGAAGTATCTATGTGCGAAAGTGAAAGACGTGATCCTGTAAATTAAACTTTCAGTAATTATTTTGATCCAAAAACATTTGTTGTCACTCTCGAGATGAAAAAGAAGGGTCTGTTCAGAACTCTGATGCAATCGGCTACAGGAGGATATACGCTGACTACGCTGGCTGGGATGCTGCTCTCCCTATCCCCACCCCTCCCCTCGAGCATCCATCTGTAATGTGAGGTGAGATTTTTTTCCTTAGAACTCAACACTAGAAACAATGGAAACCTTACGAAAAGAGCTTGACGCGGTAGGCAAAGAGAAAAGAAGCAATGATAAACCAAAGGAAGAAGGATCGGTGACAGAGGAACATATTTCATCTATTGATTGCAAAACATTGTCACTCTTAAAACCTTTCAGTGATTTGTTTTCATTATATATAATGGAGTTTCTTAATTCAAAGCTCAGAGAATGTGAGTGGAACTTCAGAGTTTATCATTCCAACGCTAAGAATTTTCAACCAAGACCACAACTTCTACCCCACCCCTAAGAGTAGCTAACCTGTCCCCGGTATGCTCCATAACTGTCTGCTGTGGCAATGCCAAACTTCTTGATCCAAGAGAACGCCTTCCATGTCCAGCCTCCAAGACAACCATTATTGCCATGGGTGGCACCAGGTGTAGCCCAGGTGCAGTCCAGGAGCTGCTGCTCTGACACATCAATCAATTTACCAGTCTAATAAGCAATGAGGAAGAATCTGAGTGACAAGATCAATTTAAAGTGAAATTCTATTTCCAACACTGTTTGAGTCTGGAAACACAGAGGAAAAGATACCGTTAAGCTGGGTACGTGGGCAAGTCGAAAAAAATTCTGATTTTGAAGACGGTGATATTTCGAGTGTTACACATTGCTTGTATCATGAGCTGTATTTCAGCATTTTTTTACTGTCCAATAAATGTTCTCCTCTACAGGAGTATCTCCTACAGGAACAGTGAAGATAATTTGAAATAATGACTCTTAACTAAGGACACCACACCTGAATATAATTGGCACCTTCCACTGCACCAGCTGCAGCAAAAGCCCAACAAGAGCCACACGTTCCTTGGCCTTTTGGAGGAAGAACAGCGCCTGGCAGAAAACAGAGCAGTTTGTAAAATAATGATCAAGTCTTAAAATAAAATGTGCTCAAACCATCCAACTCCAAACAGCTAGGAGGAAAACGAGGAAGGGGGTATCTATAGCAAGGTTGGCCAGAATACGAGCCAGAAACCAACTTATTGGTCCAGTCAGGATTACGTTGATACTTTGGTGGACTAACAACACTACTTTATGAACGAACTATTCAACGGCTTTATTCTGAATGAATACAGACCGAGGCCACTGAAATAAAAGAGATAACTCTCTACAGCAGAATATAGAGAACGTCAAGGGGAAGTGCTCCATGACCTTCTCCAAACTATAAAATCTACTGATTCAAAAGCTACGGCAGCGACCTATTTCTCTTCACTCAAAAGGTTAGAGGGACACAGAAGCTTGCCATATCATTCAAAAACATACCATATTTCCTCCAGTCCAGTTCAACAGGAACATGACCGTATCTACTTTTCTTCTTCTTAATTTTTTCCCGCCGTTCAACGGCATCGTCATCATACACTTGGTCGTCATAGGCGTCATCAAAGTCACGTGATCCGTAGCCTCCATCACCCGGCATGAGGCCTTTGTGATTATCAAATTCTTCATTTGTCAGGTCAGCAAAGTGATTCACAGTTAAATGATACGAGTTGCCTTTCATGTTCATTGAACGAATATATCTACAGGCAAAGGAGGTCAAAGAATTAGTCGGTGATTTTTGGATTAGTAGTTTGCTAGAGGTGAAATCTCCAATAGACCAGTATCACGTTCGATGAGCATTGATAGTGAGTGCTTCAACTAGAAAAGCATAATAAAGCCAATTGAGATGATCAGTAGACCAAATCAGCTCTAGAAGTGTTCTCTAAATGATCTGAGCTATGTTTCAAATCGTTCTACCAACGTTTTTGACATACACTGTTTTCACAATAGACTACGAGCAGTCCCTTCTCTCCGGCGATCGAAACCTCCCTTATGGAGCTCCTGTGGTGCAGTGGCATCACTTCAAGAGTTCCCCGTGGCGCGCTAATAGCAATTTTTTTTTCACTGATTTGTTTTTTTTTTTTGACTCGCGCGACGGACTTTACCGAAAAGGAGGGGCTGCTCGTAGACTGTGTTTCCAATAATTCAATCTTACAATTTTCCCATGCCTGTCAGAGCAAAATATTGAACCTTCAACAGTATTTCGTTGTATATTCCACATGATACGCAATCAAAAGAAATCAAAACTTCACATACATGTAAACTAACAAAGGAAAATCACTTACGGATATTGCGAAATCTTAAAATAATCTTTTGCGATGACGACGTTTTAGGAAAATTATGAAGAAAGTAGGCTCATCTGATTAGGCACTGGTCATTCCTTATAGGCTCGTTGTGTCACGATAAAATTTATCTGATTTCCATGTAAGGCTCTGTAATGTTCTTCTCATCTCCCTCATTGGCAGTCAGTTGCCAGTCAGTTTTTTATAGTCCCCCCCCTTTTATACTTCGTTGGCAACGACAGATCCCCCCTCTGTTCTTCCTGTAAACCATGAGATCCCCCCAAAATCCTCTCCCCCCACCTACAGCGATAAATAATGGCTTTCCCTAATTCAAAATGATAACTGAATTATTAAATTCATTAACCTTAAATTGTGTCTAAATATGTGTTTCCTTTGTTGATGCTCAAGTTTGTCCTTGTAATCTCTCTTGTGTTTCTTACGGAAATTATGAAAGTCTTTATCCACAGGGTCCTCCACATGGTGGAGCATAGCGAACTCTCCCATGGGGTTCAGGGACATAGAGGCACCATCACTGTCACGTGACCTCTTGTCAATGTTCCAGCACCACTTGTCATGGTGCACTAAAATAAACGGTAATAAAGTTGTTCAGCTTTGGAAGTAAATGAGCTCTCTGAACTTGGCAATCAGTAAAGCCTTAGTCAATAGAATATGATTAACAATTGAACTTTGATCAAATACCACCTTTACATCATGAAAAAGTAGTAATGATAACGGAGTATTTGGGTTAAAAGAATCCTAAGATAAGAGGGAGACTGGGCTTTCAGTCCAGTCGAGACGAAAAAGAATAAATACAAAGGCTGTTAACGATGTCTTTTGGAGGGGTTCCTCTGTACACATGAATGATTGATTATGTTTTTTTTAAACCATGCGTTTCCGTTAGTATTTCGGCTCGACGCAGTAGGTGCAGTACTATTCCAGGGAGACCAGTTAAATAACTCTGAAAAAGGGAATAAGGTATAGATATGGGAGATTCAGTCTCTTGGGTTGATCCCCTCAGTCTTAAGTATAATGTGTTCTTATGGGAATGCAGTAGGGAATTGCCCCACAAGGAAAAATTCATGCGGACACAGTCCCCTTCCCAGGCGCCTTCGGGGCAGAAAAATCCCTTGCAAAGGTCACAGGAAATATCCCTGTTTGTTTTCGAACTACCAACTTACACATTGTCACAAGTCGATTACAAAAACAATGGGAATTGTTAATAATATAAAGAGGTTTCTTGTACCAATGATCAACGCAAAGGCCAATTTAGGAAATTTGAGGAAGGGTATGTGTCTGCCTTGGTGTGCAGTAAACTCCCCCTTCCCCTCCCCTACTGTTCTTCCACCCCTACGCGCTTTTAAGAACGCTCTCCTACAAAAACTGTTATACTTACGATGAGGAATCTCAAAGACATCCGGGTCATCATCCGGATCATAATCCCACTCTTCAAAGCTGTGATAATGAATCGTATACTTGTCGTAGTACGACACAAGCAGTGTATCGTAGCCGTTCATTTCGAAGTACACAGGTTTGGGTGGGTCGGTCTTCGTTGCATAAAACAAGTACGAGTTGTTGCGTTCAAATATGGTCACGTTGTAACTCCACTTGGTACATTTTGTTCCATTGATAACGGCATCACCCTCATACTGAAAATGAAAGAAGACGTGATATTTTGTCATAGGGAAATGAGGGAACATTGTCTGCTAAGGAACTCCGCTTATGCCGGCCACAAGCCCACAAGTGAAAGGAGGAAGGTTGAGAATGAGACAAAAACCTGAGGTTATGGTTACCAACTCTAAGAGAATCAACTATTGGCGTGCTCTGACCAAGGTCTTATGTGTATAAACACCCGAAGAGGACTAACTGTCTGCTGAAGAGAAGTTATGGCTTCCATGCCTACAATATAACACCTAGTGACGTCAGAGCAATTTGGTTTAATCAACCACGTTGAAATTTTAAAATGGCCACCGTAAATAGTTAAAAAGCTGACGTTTCGAGCGCTAGCCCCTCGTCAGAGCATATGGAGGAATAATCCTTTTTATAACTGTGGGCTTGGTGGCCAAGCCTTTGAACAGGAGTGAGGTTAAGGGTGACCCTGTTGTGATAGAGACCTGTATCTAGTTAGCATGATAACAATGTAATTTGCCGTATATGAGCACGATCCTTAGCAGTAAAGCACTATTTGAGCAATAGTGAAAATCAGACCTGAAAAAAATTTCAGGCCTGTACGGGATTGGAACCACTGACCTCTGCGATACTAGTGCAGCGCTCTACCAATTGAGCTAACAAGCCAACTGGGAGCAGG